CGAAAATGTGACGTAGGTTGATGTGGACCTTTGCAGGGCGAGGGAGCTGCTCCGTCACTGCGGACGCCTGTGCTCTGACGTCCTCCGAGCGGGTGGAGGCGGAGCTGATCTCACCCACCTGAGGGCACGCCGCAGTCTGTGTGTGTGTGTGTGTGTGTGTGTGTGTGTGTCTGTGTGTGTGTGTGTGTGTGTGTACGCTGCTGAGGAAGTGGGCTCCTCCTCCCTCGCTCCTGTGTAAACTGGCGTCACACTCACCGGCTCAGCTTCCTCTGCAGGGTCAGACGCCGACGCTGCAACACAGTTTAACAGTCTGATCTGATCTCAGTCGAACATGACGTCTGCTTCTCATCACGTCATCCACACAGATGCCATCTTACCTTTAGCTCTCTTCCTCTTTCTGCCCTGCACACAAACACACAAACATCAGCCTGTCCATCTGATATCAGCTGCAGTGCGGTGATGTAAACACCAGTGTATCTGCATAGTTATCTCTGGCCGACCAGTAGGGGTGTCGCAGGCTGTGGAGCAGCCTCTCTCCCGTGGCCTGCTGGGAGTATTTGTCCTGCTCCTCTTTGGATAGTGACCTCCACTGTTGACAGACAGCAACACACACACACACACACACACACAACTACAGGCTGCCTGGTGAGCACGTTAACAGACATAAATATGCACACAGGTCCACATTAATGAGTCCAGGCTCTGCTATGCAAACTCCCAGAGTGCATCTGTGTCATACAATGCTTAAACTCAAACCGTTATTTTACAGGGAATTTACAGGTCATTCACTCTCTTTTGTTTTTGCCCTGATACAAAATATACAATAAAAAGTAAAAATCTTGAACAGATAAGCAATATATAGTTTAATGTATAAAAACAATGAAGCCATAAAAGCAATAGGACGTACGACAGAGGACAGAGTCTGTAGAAGCAGTATGACTCACACAGTCACTCGGCCATGAGTCAGCCAACAGAGATTTAAACACATTAAAGGGATTAAATCATCTAATTCGAATCTGTTTTGCAGTTATTCGTCTTGTGTGGAGCTTAAAACTGAAAAGCCGATCTCAGTCCAAACGTGTTGATTCTCAAGGGACAAATAGTCTTTGGAAGATATGAGATAAGAATAAGACGTTTCAGGCTTTGTAAATAAAAACAATGCAGTGTTGTTGACTGCCACATCACACACATCAACACATCCTTGACTGAGATGTATAAATATAAGTAGAAATAAATAAATGTAGAAATAAATTAAATACAACCGCTCATGCCGCTATAACCAGAAGGGCCGCCTACCTAATTAAATATATACACAGAAATAATGAATAAATAAATGTATGAATATATAAATAAATAAATCTTGAAATGCATAAATAAATAAATGTAAAAATTGACTTTTTTTATCATCAAAATGTTTTTATTTAGCATTTATTTATGTATTTATTGATTGATTGATTGATTGATTGATTGATACTTACATTATTTTTCATCCTTCATAGTGTTGTACAACAGTGGTCCCCAACCACAGGGCCATGGACCAGCTCCAGGCCATGGACCAGCACCGGGTCATGGACCAGCACCGGGTCATGGACCAGCTCCGGGCCATGGACCAGCACCGGGTCATGGACCAGCTCCGGGCCATGGACCAGCACCGGGTCATGGACCAGCACCGGGTCATGGACCAGCACCGGGCCGCGGTTATTCGTTAGTGGAGCCACACAGAAAGGACAGATTCATTGTTTAGTTTTTTAGGGCTTCTGTGAAAGAGATATTTCTATTTGTCCACTGTCTCCTAGAGTCTTTTACTCAACAACATTGTGCTGGTAAACCTAATGCTCCTGAATGAACGGGCAACCAGACAAACAGCACATTAGATAATAGAGCGACTGCGTGTGACGACACAAACAGAAGCTCAACAGCTGTGTTGACGTGTTTTACTCACAGCGTTCGGTGAAGACTCAGGGTGTCGACGCTTGTTCCTGCAGCCTGTTAAACTGGAGACACGAACAGAAGAGGCCGTTAGTCAAACTGCAGTGGTGTCATCTGTCCACCGGGCGTCAGGATTTACCCTCTGTTTGTTTTAGATATAGTAACTGTGTGAATGAACTGTTGTGACATCTGTGGAGTAAAACACATCTAGAGAACCTGTGACACAGGTGGATAACCATAACCATTTCTTTTGGCCTTTGTTTAGTGCTGTATCAACACAGGTACCTATCCCTAATATCTACTTAGCATCTTACCTGTCCCTGGCTGTGAGCACCTCCATGACCTGGCAGCACGGTGGTTTCCTGTCCCACTGGTCCATACATCATGGTTGGAGCTGCTCCCAGTGGGAGACACCCGCCTAGCCTCCACTCTGACTTCCTCCTGGCTGCAAATAGGTGTTGAGCCCCAGCACATCAGGGAAAGGGGGAGGAAGGGGTGGAGGAAGGGTAGGTGGAGGCGGAGGGTTGGATGTGTCACCGTGCATTTTGTTTTCTTGCCCCCAGCACAGTGAAAACTTTCTCTTCCAGCTCCATCTCCTCCACAACACATCCACAGTCTGCACAGACGTGCGTTTCGGGGGCAGAGATGTATTTGTGTGCCGCCTCTCTGCAGGTCACTGAACTCGTCCAGAAGAAAGACCGATGTCTGCGTCTGTCTGGTGGCGACCGGCTCCTGCGACACGCTGAAAGAGGTTTTGAGACACTTACAGAAACTAACAAAGTATAAAAGCACCTGGTGCAAACTGGATTCATGGCTGGAGTCAAGATGAGAAGTAGAAGCAATTTTATAACTGTTGCCATAGAATATATCAATTATAACTAATAACAATAAAAGGTGAATTAGAGAAATGGAGAAGTTAGAAGTCTGTTACTGAAAGAAGCATTAAATCGCTGCAACTGGAGGGAAAGTTCCTGTTGTAAAAGTACACTATTCAATACAATGAGGTATTTTCATTTTTCTTTTTTCAACCTTCTACTTTATGACAAACTCTTACCACTGAGTCCTCAATTTAATTCAAAGGGCTGGATGTTGGTCTGAGCCATCAACCTGGGGCCGGCCAGCACTGCCTCTCTGATGCCACATGATGACCAGCGAGTCCTCACGGTCCCTCTGGACCACGTGGCCACCGGGTGAAGACGCAGAGCCGGTTGCAAACAGCCTCCACCCGGCGGCTAACACTGGCCCAGTTTGCAGGGCCCGAGTTCAGTCCAAGAAGACAGCTGAAAGATAATCAGAGAGCAGTGTGTGTTAATATAGATCTGATATTCATTAGAGGAAACAGTGATATCTGAAGTGAATCTCACCTCTGGAGACTCTCCTTCCCAGGACAGGAGGTGTTCTTCCCCGTCGCTGCCTTGAGCTGTCACCTGGGCTGCCTCTCCTGGTCTCTGGGAGGGAAGACACCTCGCTCTTCCTCCTGCTCTGTCTGGCAGGTGTTGCCAGGAGCTTGGAAGTACTTGGCACTGGCTTGAGGAAAAAGGTTTTGGATCAAAAATGATTTTTATGTTTGCATGAAATGATAATACACAATATACTCTGAGACACACACATGTACCTGGGATGAAGTGGCAAAGGTGGAAACCAGAAGGCTGACCCCGGCAGCACCAGCGAGCTGCTTCGCCACCTGCAGGGAGAGAGAGAGAGAAAGGTTTCAAATGTTAATGTTAATATTTGTGTGTGAATTTAGGACACACACAGCAGTGGTGTTGAAGCAGCTGTAAGAACATAAACTGCCTGAATCACAGCTCGTCCTGGAGAAACTCCCTGATGGGAAAGAAAACTAGAGATGGCTGTTCAGTTACACATACAGTGCATTTAGAAAGTTTCTACATTGTACTATTTAGAATAATCTTATAAATCGTTAAATTCATTCATCAATGAACATAGCCAGCAAGCTAGCTGCTAATGCTAGCGCTAAAGAAAATGGGGGGCAGCTCTATTTACTGTACGTGCACACGTTCATTTGTTTTTACAATTATATTTATCATTGTCATTATTATTATACACAATCACAAACAAAATGTCACTTTATATACACTTTGTCACTTGTCTATCCTGCTTCATGGTTAAAATGTTCTGTGTCACCTTCTGTTTGTCACCAATAAAAATTTAAAAAAATTGCTAATGCTAGCTATCCCCCCACTTGTTATTTTGCATTTTTATGAAATTGTTAAATTCATTCATCAATGAAAAATGCCAGCAAAAATGCCGATCCAGCCAAGGTCTGGATCTTTGGGGACACCTACAACCTCTAGCAGCGATGATGGAGGCCCTGCAGCACCTCCACCTGCAGTGTCCACACATGAAGATCTTCTCTTCTTATATGATAATAGAGTATTTTTTAATGTAACACCAGTGGCCATAACATTGTTCAGTCTGATCAGCTGTGCTCTTCCTTGTTCCCTTCACCCTCACTGTCGTATTACACTCTCTGCCCCATGTCAGACATACAGTCACATGACTTCTGGACTCCACTGCAGCTGTGACAAACTGTCAAGATTGTTACTGGAGCAAATAAATATGAACTGTCTCACACACATTAGGACTCATGATGAATAATGATTATACTTGTTACTAAAGATTCTGTTGCTGTTGATTCAACTACTTCTTTTTATTAAACAAACTTACATGTGACAGAGAAATTCAGCTTTAACTTCATCCACAACTATTTTTTGATTTCAAATAGTGACAGTTGATTGTAAATTGTGAACTACAGTATTTAATTAATCAATTTATTACATTTACAGCAGCTGGGCAGAAAATAAAAAATAACAACGAATAGAATAAAATTCAATAAAATTCAATTCAATTGCTTTATATAAAAAATAGAAAAATCGACATACCTAGTAGAAAAATAAAATTAAAAAAGGCTGTGTTTATCCTCACATCTGGGTGATGAGCGATGTCCGTTCCGCCTCTGTGACGTGTCCCGTCCCAGCGACCAGTCACACAAAAAGTACAAACACCTGCATCTCCATTCATTTAGCGAGTCACAGGCACTGCAGGTTAGACACACCTCACGACTGACTGCAACTCAACCAACTGGACTGCTGCTGCTTGTTGTGGCTGCCGATGAGCTCTGGCTTCTATTACAGTCAGTGCATGAAGACTGGATGTGCGGTTTGCTGTTTTGGGACAAATAGACAGGGGCAACTTTTAGAACAGACGCAAACCCCTCCATGGAGATTGAAAGCATGGTGGCAAATAGTGCTCTGGTTAAAGCCAGGGAAGGTAAGAGTTGATTTCTCATGAATTTATGTCAGAAATGTTTGTAAAACTTAATTTCTCAGGTCTTTTAATGAGCCAATGTGACAAAATGACAAGTAGCAGGATGTCAAAGGATGAGCTGCCTGTTGTTATCAATACAAGTGGAGCATGTGGTTTTAGATCAATAACACAGACGGTTTTTGGACTTGAAATTTTCCTTCCACACTTCATTAAATAATATTTGTCAGGATCACAGGTGTCGGTGCTGTTTCTCCAGTCGTGTTTTGGTCGGTGATCTGAGGACTTCCATAAACAACGAGGTGTTGTTAAGATGACGAACGATGAAACTGATAAAAAAAAAAAACCGATCAGATAAATCAAGTGCACTGATTGATGAGCTCCTTAGACATCTCTTATGGATCCATGCCAACACTGGTTTTACTCTGTGTCAGAGTTTAGTCACTGTTTACCCTCAGTGAATTTACCCTCTGGGGATGTTTGAACAGAAGCAGAGCAGAGCCAATCACAGCAGAGATTAGAAACTTATCATTTCTTAGTAAAGTGAAGAACTAAAATCTCCCTATAACAATGTGCTGTTACATGTGAGTTGGTAAAACTGTGTAAAGGGGAAGAGCAGATGGATCAGATCTTGGAGCAGCACTGTGGCTATTTAAGTTTGAAAGTAAGTTGCAGAGTAATGTGGTCGCACAGGCTTTGCCTACCTGCTCCCAGAGCTATTAATAGTTCATTCACTGTAGTCGGGCGTACTTTTGTCTGAAACCTGACGGGCCAGACGCGCATGTACGCGTGCACGTGTGTATGACACCCTGCTGATAGACGTGTCAGTCTTTCATCATCACTCTTGGTCATGTATTTCTACAACATTACAACCTATAAGGATTTATTTTCACTGTCTGTCTGTCTGTCCCTGCAGGCGGAGGGAGCAAAGGCCGCAGCTGGAAATGGAGAGAGATGCTTCGCTTTCCTCACATCAGTCAGTGTGTGGACCTGGCCATGAACATAGGTGTGTGTGTGTGTGTGTGTGTGTATGGGTGTATAGATCTTTGAAGTCATTAGATGATGTGGTTCGTCGTGTGATTTCACATCATGTTTTAACTCCTCCGTCAGAACGAGACTACCACAGTCTGTGTGTGCAGCAGCCCATTGGCAAGAAGCTGTTCCAGCTCTTCTGTCGGAGTCGTCCCGACCTGCAGAACTACATTTCCCTCCAGGATGCTTTGGTACAATCAAAACTGAAAATATGATTCATAGGATTCCTACTATAAGAAAAGCAAAGCAACTTAAAGCTAAAAAAAAAAAGTCAAAGTGCAGGAAACAATTAGAAGAAACACACAAAAAGAACGATTAAAGAGGACGAAGCAGCGGATCAACTGTGGGAGAAACGGTGGGAAAAGCTTTTGAATGGAGTTCAGTCACACTGTGTTCTCAGTGTGTAATACAATACGAGCAGGGAGTGGGAAGAAGTAGAAGGAAATAATTATTTTAAAAAAAATGATAAAGGAGCAACTAATGGTCACAGGAAATACTGGTTCATTTTACAAAAATAAAATGTAGAATCAAACAACACACGGACATCTACCTTTATACTGTACCAGACCTTTAAATTATATTCAGTCTGTGTAATCAAATTAACAACTAAGGAAACACTATGACAGAGTGGCCAACATTTGGACGAAGTACGGTGATAATGAGCAGGACAAAGTTAAAGAACAGACATGTTTCTTTGCAGTGAACATGTAATGGCTGCTGTATATTTGGCTTAGTAATTAAACGTCTGATTATTAGTCAAACATGCAGTTTTCTGAGCCTGAGGTCCTGAGTTACAGGATGTGGTCAGTGCGAAACTTAATATTCGTTTAAATTTCTGTTACATGTGGATGCGTTTCCTCTTTGTCTCCTTTAGGACACTTTTGAGACAAAGTCGGACGAGGAGCGAAGGGATTTTGGCTTCAGCATCATTCAGAGATTCCTCATGAATCAGGTCTGACAACTACAGTCCAAACACACGTCTTCGCTTCTTCACAAATATTCACGTTTATGGATCTTTTTTCTTATTGTTTTTTTTTTACTTTTATTGAAATACATGCAGTAATAAATGCTGCTGTTTTTCCTCAGTCCAATCAGCGTGTCTCCATCGTGCTGAGGCATGAACAGAGCTGCATCCAGAGTCTGGAGCTCAATCCCTGTGGGGACGTCTTTCATGACTGCAGGGAGTAAGTGCAAACCCTCCACACTCCTCCTCCTGTGTGCATATGTTTGCGGGGAATAATGTCTAACCTCTGTATTTAATGGGAGCAGAGACCTGCATAGATACCTCTGCGGAGAGCCCTTCGTCCTGTACCAGGAGAGCATGTTCTTTGACCGTTTCCTGCAGTGGAAGATGTTGGAGAGGTCAGTATGTGTGTGTTCTGAGGAAACACACCGTGTGACAGATCAGCGGTTGGTTGAGTAGCTGGTTTATCTGCTTGTACTTAATACACTCCACTGCAATTACTGTTGACTCTGTGCCACATTTAGCTCACAGATTTGTATTGGAGGAAAAAAAAAAAAAGATCCACTGAGAATGAAAACAACCTTCTTTCTCTTGAAGGCAGCCAATCAGCAAGCAGACGTTCAGACAGTACAGGCTGCTGGGGAAAGGAGGGTTTGGAGAGGTAAGACTGCAGCACATCACATCAGTGACAACACCAGTCTCTTATGGACATTACTGCAAGAGTCAATTCACCAAAATAATAAAAGAAAAAAACACATATTCGCTTCTACACCTGCTGGCAACTTCAAACCCAGATGGTTTTGGTTTCATCTTAACTCACGCGACTTTGGAGAGGAGGGGGATTTCAGTGTCCCGTCTGGTATTTAGTGTTTTCTACTGTTGTTATAGAAACTCAGGTTTCTTCAGATGAAAGCTGTTCCTGTTAAATCTGTCGTCAGAGATCGAAATCGCAAAACCTGAGCGAATAAAAGCAAAAGGACCTGCAGGGCTGCATACCGACAGCTTCATTTCACACACATTTCATTTCCCTATTTTCAGCTCCTTGTAACCAGTCAGTAACCAGTCAGTAACGACCGCCGCCCCACGCAGCATTACAACCTGTAGAGCTGCATCCAACAGATCTATTCTCCTCTTAGCTGGTTAACAAGCTGCTGCTGCTGCTGCAGGAAGGAGAGAGACCCCGTTTAAACGCCTGTCTCTGACTCGCTCCTTGTGATTCTTCCTGTCGCTAACCAGCTGTCTATCTGATGGACGTGATCTGCCAACATGCAATCAGCCTGAGAAAGGAAACACACAGGCCGATACAACGTGGTCTGCTGGCAGCGGAGAAGTTCCTCTTATTGGCTTTGGCCTTAATATGAGAAAAAAAAAAGACATTAAAAGGAGTTTTTAAAGATCATTTAGTTTAAAACATTCAGAATTTTCTATCTATATCTCCCTACCTACCTACCTACCTACCTACCCCTCCATCTACCTATCTCTCTATCCCTCCATCTACCTATCCCTTTATCTCTCTATCATCCCGTATTTGTTGGAGCTTGTCCCATATTACAGAATAAAGGTCTGGACATCTCGGCCTCTGCTGCTTCGTCTTTTTAAATCTGTCTCTTCAAGCTTTAATGGAAATGCAAAACTTAAACTCTTTTAAATTTAACAATTCATTTGCTGTGTGTGTGTGTGTGTGTGTGTGTGTGTGTGTGTGTGTGTTGCTCTGCACACACTCAGCTTTCAAACACCCGGTCCCCCAAAAAACCGATCTGTTTGCGTGTCTTTGATCACCCTGCGTCTCGCCTCCAGGTGTGGGCTTGTCAGGTGCGAGCCTCAGGGATGATGTACGCCTGCAAGAAGCTGGAGAAGACCCACGTGAAGAAGAGGCGGGGAGAGGCCATGGCTCTGAATGAGAAACAGATACTGGAGGGGCTGGACAGTCGATTTGTGGTGAGACTTACAACAATATAATAATAATCATTTTAAACACTTAAAATGTCCTTATATCTCTGTACAACTCCATTAGATTGTGATATAATCAATTCACTAAATGTTTATCTGCTGCTCATGTTTTACTTATGTTTTTTTTTAAAGTGAATTTTAAAGTTTTAAATTGTGATATAAACTATTTACTAATATATATATAATAATAATAATAAGCTTTAAACCTCGCCCCTCTGTGTCAAGGTGAATCTGGCCTACGCCTATGAGACCAAGCACGCGCTCTGCATGGTGCTGACCATGATGAGCGGCGGCGACTTGAGGTTTCACATTTACAACATCGGCGTGCCCGGACTGGAGAGAGGCAGAGTCCGTTTCTACGCCGCAGAGGTCTGCTGCGGTTTAATCCACCTTCACCAGAAGTCCATACTGTACAGGTCAGTACCGGAAACATGTGACACATCACATCTTCACTCTCCTGGAACCGAATCAAATGTTGTGCTTGATGTTCCAGGGATCTGAAACCAGAAAACATCCTGCTGGACGACAACGGTACGTACCTCCGCAATTAACAGTGTATTAACAGAACAACGAGCAGCTGCGATGCGCTTCAGTAACAACCTGCAGAAACGCATTCCACGCTGCGCAGACAGAACATGATGACATCTGTAGCAGCACCTTCTGACGAGGATATTTTTAGCTCTAAAATTTGTCTAGATTGAGTTCTGCCAAACAATGCCTCAGCCAATCAGATTCATTCCTCGCATACCTGTTCTCGAGGAGGAAGCAGCGCTGATGGTATTTTGACATGGATACAAACAAAAGGCGGGTTGAGGAAGCGAAAGCCTGTGGGAGTCAGGTGTGGTGGTGTCTATTTTAAGAAACCTCTGCACCTGTTTTGTTCTTGGAACCACCTGTTTAACATACCTGAGCCTTACTACAGAGCACCGGTCCGCGTGCTCAACACACACTTTCTGTACTGGTTCCAAAAACCAAAACTGGGTGGCGGGGGATTGATAAGGAAGAAAAGGGAAAGTGCGTCATAACAGCAAAAAATCTCAAACACAAAACCAGTTCAGTGGATTCTTTTCTTTTCTTTTTGTTCCCCCAAGGACACATCCGCATCTCAGACCTGGGCCTGGCCGTGAGGCTGTCCGAGGGGAGTCTGGTGCGGGGCAGGGTGGGCACGCACGGATATATGGGTATGTATGTATGTGACTCACATTATTGGTCTGTAGAGGACCATGAGTTTTTCTATGGGGGCAGTAAATGCAGGAATTGGCCAGAGGGTGTAAAGCAGAGAGGTGGAACAGGAAGTCTCCAGGTTGAACTCTTATGTCTTATTTTGTTGACTCCCCTCACTCAGTGTGTTTCCATCCACGTTTCATCCATAAAACTGTGGGAAATCACTAAAGTTTCTGCACGTTGAGATGGAAAAGTTGTTTTGATGAAAAGAAATGTGATGACAGAGTGTAATGGAAACATTCAAAGAATAAATGACGGCGTACATGAAGCATGTGATATAAATACTTTGTCTGAGGAGGATGTTGTTGCTGTGACGTCGTCAGTTGAAGTTTATCCAGCTGGCTGCAGACACCTGGCGTATTTATAGTCTCGTTGACTCGTGGGAATTCTTCCCAAATCAATACAGGAAGTGAAAAAGTGAACGGACCAATGAAGAGACTGTAACCGGACGTGTATATATTCACATTACAGCAGAGGATGGAAACACACAATCATTTAATTTGCTTTTGCTGATGATTAGATAGAATTAGATTCTTTCTGCACAGTTCCAACATTAGGATTCAAATCCTTCCACTAGTTGTAGAGACATTATTTACAGTTTGGACTCAAGTGGTGGATTCACTGACCTGCTGACCCAGATTACCGTTACTGGGGCCTCATGGGAAATAAACTGGTGTTTGATGGGACGTAAACCTGCACGACTAAAGATCACCTCCACACGCACACGCCATAAAACAAACAAGCTATATCTACAAGTACATAACAAAATCTTCAAGCATTGACGTCCTGATTTCAGCCCCCGAGGTGATCAGCCACGACTACTACGGGATGAGCGCAGACTGGTGGGGCCTCGGCTGTCTCATTTATGAAATGACGGCAGGGAAACCGCCGTTCAGGGTGCGAGGAGAACATCCTCACCCCACAGAGATGGAGAGGAGGATCCATACGGAGCAGGAGGTATACGACGACAAGTTCTACAAGGAGGTGAAAGCCCTCTGCTCCTCGGTGAGTTCTTAGGAATCACAGAAGAAAACTTTCACATACGCGATACGTCTTTCTTTTACCTGAGACATTAACAGGTTTTATTTCCTGTTGTAGCTGCTGACTAAAGACCCGCAGCTGAGGCTGGGCTGTCAGGGCGCAAAGGGGGGAGAGGTACAGTCACATCCGTTCTTCCAACAGATCAACTTCAGGATGTTGGAGGCAGGACTCGTCGAGCCGCCGTTTAAACCTGATGTAAGTAACCCGACGATTTACCAACTGTCACAGTTATAAGTACATTTAGATGGATGAGGGGTGTGTCACATTTTATCTTTCTGGTTCTTTTTCTAATAATTGAGAAGATGTTTCTTGAGAAAAATAATAATTATTATTATTATATAATTTGTTCCTAATCATACAGAAACAATAGACCAAGTTCTGTCTGTAAGCAGATGCTGATTTCCAGAGAAACATCCTTGAAAGAACTGCCACATCTAAACCTTTAAAGCTTGTTAATTAATAGCTAATAACGCATTTATTTAGTCTATATAGATTGGTCATAATAAGCCATGAGTTGCTTTGTGTCAGTTTGTGAACTCTGCAGATTAACATTTCTTTTTTTTTTAATTACTGTAGAAACTGTAGATTTATTGGCTCATAAACTTTTTTATAAAATGTGGTTTTCCAGCATTTTAATGTTGTATCTGTTTGAGGCGGAGCTAATTTGAACTTTTATATACATATACATAATAATATAATCCATAACAATGCTCCGTTAAGAAAGCATACGTTGTGATAAAGAGGCTTTGGGTCTGCGGTTTGTTTCCTGCTCCAGCCCAGACAGGTGTACTGCAGTGATGTGCAGGACATCGAGGAGTTCTCCACAGTGAAGGGCGTCGTCCTGGACGACACCGACAGCAACTTCTACTCCAAGTTCAACACGGGCAGCGTTCCTAACAGCTGGCAAAATGAGGTGTGTCCACTCACAGGTTACATCACCTGTTACAGGTTACATCACCTGTCCTGAAAGAAACAACAGCCTTAACATCTGACGCTCTCCCCTGTAGATGATAGAGATGGGATGTTTCAGGGAGCTGAATATTTTTGGCCCCGTCGGGTCTCGATCCCCAGACCTGGACTGGTCCCAGACCCCCGAGAACCCCAAACGCAGCCTGCTGGACCGAATCTTCCGCCGACATGTAAGAACACAGTCCACTGCTGCCGACACTGTCTATACAGCTGCATGAAAGCTTGAAATATTTCTCTCTGCTCGCTCTCCTGCAGCAGCAACCTGCAGACTCATCAGACGACAGCAGACAGGGTTTGGTGTCCAATGAAACCTACATGAAGTCAGGGCTGCTCAGCACCGCCCTCTGAACACCGTCACAGCACAGACACTAAAAACAACCAGCATCCATCCACTGTAGCTGACGGAGGCGGCCCTGTGTTTGTACTTTTCTCCATGTTATAGCACTTGTTTCATTTTACTGTCAGTTACACACACACACGCACCAACTCTCATTTCCATCCATTTTAAAGACAGGTAGATTTTCGTTGAAGTCCTTGAATTTTGATACAAAATGCTTGAAACATGAAGCTACTGCAACTAATTTCACCAGTTGTATGAGCCATAAATAAACCCTGTTTTTAATCCAGTGATTCCCAAAAAACTTTGTATCTGTTAATAAATATTAAGATTGTCTTCTCTAATTTCTGCTTTTGTCGGCATCTGAAATCCTTTAAATAAAACAAATATGCAACTGCTCACAATTCATGTCACACAATGACCATAACCTGCCGTAGTATATAGAATATAGCTTCTATATTAATACTGTGAAAGTATCAAAGCCTCAGTCCACAGAGAAATGCACACAGCCTGTATTCAGAAACTGAGCCTTAAAACCAGCCGTCAGGACTTCTGGAACTTTGTGATGTCACAACAAAGCAGTCACCAAGCCCCGCCCACCTGGACTCACCATCCAAACCTTGCAGGATTTGGTTTCTCTGAGTGTTTTTACCTGAAATCTGCTATATTTTTATTGGATCACTCAGAAAACAGTCAGCCAATCAGAAGAGAGGCTCAGAGCCTCCTCTCTTCTGATTGGCTCACCGACCTGTTGTTACTAGAGCTCCAGAGAGAAGCCTGAGAGAGGAGATGTAAAACTACACTGAGATGGTTTTGGTCCTTATATCTATTATATTCCATACTTTTATTTTACTACTTTTATTTTTACTACTATACTACTGATTAATGTCACACACATGAATCTTTCAGGTTTCATTAATGAGTTCAACTTTGTCCGTGTAGCATTTTTTTTTTTTATTTAACCCAGAGTATAAAACAGTAAATAACCAAGACATGTTGTAAAACAAATAAAATTAGAAAAAAGACAGAACACACTAAAGAGTGGAGGATCAACTGTTGTCTACAGAAATGTTGAAGTGGGTTCGATTGGCTGCAACTCTACGCAGAACATCAGAGGCAGAACACGACCGGACGTCCTGTCGGGTTCTCTACAGAACAATAACTTCAAAATATACACATTTCAAAGCAGAGCACCAAAAATGAGCTGATTCAGTTGTTAAATGTTCAGGGAGGGAAGTCAAATGATGATACGCAGCCATCCTTTAAAAGATTCATTAGGTTTTAACTTCCTGTCAGGAAATACTAATATCGCAGGAGTCAGAATCAGCCGTGGACCGAGAGGTTTTTACTGCAGCGTGTGGTGTTTTCATTTCACTGTCTGAAGGAGGAACGGTGTTTTGACTGGCGGGCGTGTGCGTACTGATTCAAGCCGCGTTCATCCTTCCCACGGAGGGCTGCGTCGTCCGTCCACCTCCGTCTCCACGTGGTACAGCATATCAGCCAGCGTGTGCTCGATCACAGCTCCCCAGCCCATGTCGCTCATCTGGAAGGGAGGGAAAGCAGATGTTAGAGTGAGGTTTGTGAAGTCATCTGTGACAGGAAGTGAATCTATACTCAAGCTCTCACCGGCTGGAACTTGACGTCCTTCGGAGGGTGTTTAAAATGTGGCCCGAAATTAACTGACACCTGAAGAGAGAGAGGGGGAGAGAGAGAGAGAGAGAGAGAGAAGAGGAAACATGGACTGACTAGAAAATTAAGAAGCCTCATAAGTCACAAGCAGGACAGGTGTTCATGTACCGACCGTGCAGCTCTTGTAGAGTGAGATTGCAGGGAAGTACATGCCTTCAAACAGGTTTTCAAATGCAACACCTTGGCTCACTCCGTTTTTATAGAATACCATCTGAAAAACAGGATCCACGAATTAACAGCAGGTGACAGCGCCGCGTTTTATAACAGGATTTTATTCTGGAGGGGGGTTCTCTCACCCTGCTGGGGGTGGTGGACTTGAGGCTTTTCTCTGCTTTGTCCACGTAGTCCTTCTCCTCAAAGTACAGGTAGCTCTTGAACTTGATTAGCGCCTGAGAACAGAACAGATTCGAGGAGAGACGTCAGAACGACGACGTGTGTAGGGTCGGCGAAGCCCTCGTTATCCCTCAGCTGTTACCTTGTCCTTGTACGTATCGGGCAGAGCCTTGGCCGTCTCTGTGCCGTCAGGCAGCTCTATGAAGAAGCCCAGCGTGTCTCCCTGACCGTACCCGGAGGAGTAATGCTTTCCTATGGACTGGTGGAAGCGCGTGCCCTTCTTACTGCGCCACGAGTAGCTGAACTTGTCGTAACCCAGAGGCGCCTGCAGGTTACCTGTGATGTCAAAAGAGGGGGAAATGTTTCAACAATTCAACAAGTCTCCGTTCACCCCACCCACCCACCCACACTGTGTTCGTTTGTGAAGCTGCATCCTGTAGAATAAAAAAACAAGCGCCTCTTACTCAGTTGGCATCTAGACGCCAAACATGTTGAACTAGAATCACCACCTCACGGTTGTATCCCTCCACCGAGCTGCAGGAATCATGTTGGCAGTCTTTCCTTCTGTTCCTGAGTTACAGCGTTAAGTGTTTTCACAGAACATTATGATGTCATTACTTCATCGTTTTCTGTGTTAAATTGCGTCATAATCAGCATATTAATTAGCGTGTTACAGCCAAAAAACATGTTTTGTGAGGTCAGTGACCTTTGACCTTCAAAATCTAATCAGTTCGTCTGCGAGTCCACGAGGAGATGTCACACTCACATACAACCCAAAAACATAACGACTGTTCCCGACACGAGCTAAGAAAAGTTAAAGAGTTGCTTTATTTTGAAAATGTTCACACGTTATCTTCCTGTCAAACAAACCTTTACTTTGGAACTACAGTTTCTGAACCGCTGAACTACTGTATTACTCCACAGATCAGCTGTTCCAGTCAGACAGAGATAAGCGTAGGTGTGCTCCTGTTCAATGGTTCACAAACCGTACTTTCAAAGTAAAGGTCTGTTTGACAGGAAGATAAAGTGGTGAAAATATTCAAAGTAACGTAGCAACGTCCGCAGCGGCTCATCACTCGGTGCTTCTCTAAACTGAATGTACTGCAGGTAAACACACTGGCTGAGTAATTAAACTTTGGAAGCATTGTTGGATCAGCACATTAGTCCGAGCAGCTCAGAGGTTTGTGCGAGCGTGCGGCTCCACTGACCGAGCGGTTGAGACCAGCCGAGCCGGGCCGCCGTCTCCGGTGGCATGTCCTCGACAGAGACCTCGAAGTACCAGGAGCCTTTCCGGACGCCGTGGGAGGCTCGCACCATGGAGTAACCCTTCTCTCCGGTCACCGTCAGACGGTCGTCAGAGATCTTCAGCTGAGGCGCTGCCACGTGAAACACACAGCAGTTTGTTACACAGCACACAGAAACAACAGGGTGTCCGAACACTTCCTGAAATCTGATTTAACACTTTTTACATTAATGTTATGAATTCCATGACACAAGAACAATTCACACGTCTAAAACTAAACTTTTAATTTCAATTTGCTTGTTTGGAAACAACAGGAAAGTGTCAAATGATGATTTCTCATGGGTTTAAGCTTCATTTTTTAAATTTAAGCTCTTTCATAAAAAGACTTTTCAGATATTTTAAAGTCTTAAATTAACAAAAAAAGGAAGAAAATATAAGAAATGTGTGTCTGGGTTGTGAGTACCTCTGTCATGTAACGCCAGCAGCACCCTCTCATACAGACAGGCCCTGTACAGATCACCAGGTATGGGTTTGCCGGCCCAGCAGTCCAGCTCCAGCTTCTCCGGGTCTGGGGCGTGGGGGTCCGGTTCTGCCAGGATGTAACGGTAGCCATCTTTGTTAAAGGGGTGCTCCAGCGGGTAACCGTGAGGAGGCAGACGCTGGGCCGAGAACAGAGGGTCGCTGCGACGAGGGAGGAGGAGGAGGAAGAGGAGGAAGAGGAGGACAGGTTTGTTTTGTTCTGCTGTATCTTCCTCCTCTGTGAAGCCTGCAGACGTCAGTGACCTAGAAAACTTCTCTTTCTATCTGCTGCACTCGACTAAAGCCGGAATTAAAGCTGCACTCGCAGCACATAGTGTCTCAACACTTAATGACAAACATAGTTCAGGCACCAGAGCGCAGCAATTAAATCTGATTTTACACACAGAGCCGTAAAGCTACAACGCCTCAAGAGGAAAATACCTCACGTCTCACAGACAAATCATAATGTCACTTCACTTCAAGCTGCAGCACTTTACTGAAAAAAACATGGAGGCTCATCTCAGGTTGCATCACAAACATATGGTCCAGGCAGGTGTGTGTGTGGACTGACAGCTCCTGTACCTGCGGGTTCTCTTCGTGGCCCCTGCAGCTGTTCCCTCCTGCTGCTGCTGCTGTTTACGTTTGGCTCCTCGTCCTTTTCCCGGGCCGGGGGCCAAAGCACCTTCAAATTATAAAAAACAAAACAAAACAAAATAAAAACACTCCAGATTACACACAAATTACACACTGAATACACACAAAACACACACACACACACGCACGCACAGGCAGTCAATGGCAAAGTTAATATACGCCGTTACCAGTTTATTAGGTACAGTCAGTCAGAACTGATGCAGTTGGACACATCGGTCCTGATGAAGGTCAAACTGACAGAAAAATGATGTCATTATTTTATAAATCTTGTATCTAATGTTCTGCACTAATCGCCCTCCTCACTCTGAGTTTGAAGCCCCTCCCTCAGGCCGGTGACTCAGAGTTTCCCGCTTCACATGTTCCTTCATCCCGTGTGTAACAACCCTGTTAATTGTCATTTTATAGTGTGTTGTGTTTTCAGTGTGTGATGTTCTTATTGTGTTGTTTTTATAGTGTCTCTGGTCGTTGTGGACGCTGCCGTTACACCGAGAAGTGTTTCTAATATTTTGTCCGTCACATTTCTGTGAATGAAAGCAGACTTCATATTAAAACACACCTCCTACCTTCATGAAGGTGGGCTTCACTGAAGGGCTGTTGTGTTACACTGCGTCAGTTTTATC